TCAGCATCTCGAGAGAAGCGTAGCCAGCAAGCAAGGCTTGGCGCGGGACACGAGAGAAGCAAGCAAGGCTTGGGGCGGGCGGCGAAAAAAAGAAGACGACTCTATATAAAAAGATCTGTAAAAAGAAGGGTTGGCGCGGGCGGCGAAAAAAATGAAGACGACTCTTATACAAAAAGATCTATAAAAAGAGGACCCTCAACGACAAGTCAACCAATCTGGTCGTTCCGATGTGACGATGTAACGCAGATCTTCTTGTCGACGGAGAAACTGGTTATCGCCCCACAGCAAGCGATAGATGCTCAAACGACTGTGAGAGGTCTTGAAATCGTCTCAGCTACCCAGAACTGCTGGTAGTTCTCGGAGGTTCGCAGTGTGGGCTGAGATCGGCCTTTTCGACCCGGTCGGGCAAGGGGTCCGCTATGCTACTGAAAACTCCACAGACGGAAAAAAAAGACTTTTGATCGACTGAGACCCAAGCTAGAGCTTGGGAAGACTACGCAGCACACTAAAGGTAAGTAAGGCAGCAACACGCTTGCGATGCTTTACCACCCATCCATGCATGTAAGAGAAGAAAAAAAAAAGGGTATGGCGGACCGTCTGTTGTCTGTATCTTCAACCGTGCTGCCGTTGCTTTTCTTCATGGATATCGGCACAGAGAAAAAATGAGGAATGCGCATCTCCTACGCGAGCACGGCGTGCAGCCCAAGCGACAGAGACGATAACCTTATGACCTTTGCAGCATCTTCCGAGCATAACAGCAGCCACCGCATGTGTACAACGGTCACTATAGACTAAGGAAGAAAATCACAAAATCACTGGTTATCGCCCCACAGCGAGCGATAGCTGCTCAAACGACTGTGAGAGGTCTTGAAATCGTCTCAGCTACCCAGAACTGCTGGTAGTTGCCGGAGATTTGCAGGTACGTACTGCTTTTGCCTACCACTCTCGTCCTCTCGTCCGCACATCAACAACAACAATAAATGCTAATTTTCGCACCACAAAAGAGCCATCCATGCAGAAAGTTGCAACAACAGAACAAAAGCAGCTCCTGCTGTATGTACACAGAATGTCCAGCTGTGTGCTGAGGTCGGTCAGCATCTCGAGAGAAGCGTAGCCAGCAAGCAAGGCTTGGCGCGGGACACGAGAGAAGCAAGCAAGGCTTGGGGCGGGCGGCGAAAAAAAGAAGACGACTCTATATAAAAAGATCTGTAAAAAGAAGGGTTGGCGCGGGCGGCGAAAAAAATGAAGACGACTCTTATACAAAAAGATCTATAAAAAGAGGACCCTCAACGACAAGTCAACCAATCTGGTCGTTCCGATGTGACGATGTAACGCAGATCTTCTTGTCGACGGAGAAACTGGTTATCGCCCCACAGCAAGCGATAGATGCTCAAACGACTGTGAGAGGTCTTGAAATCGTCTCAGCTACCCAGAACTGCTGGTAGTTCTCGGAGGTTCGCAGTGTGGGCTGAGATCGGCCTTTTCGACCCGGTCGGGCAAGGGGTCCGCTATGCTACTGAAAACTCCACAGACGGAAAAAAAAGACTTTTGATCGACTGAGACCCAAGCTAGAGCTTGGGAATACTTGTTGGCGTTGTTGTCGTTTTTTTAGCAAAATGCGACTCCGTTGTCTGAGTTGCATCATCATGAACGCGTGCACATGTAGGCAGGGATTGTTGTAGTAGATAAAAGTTTGAGTTCGGTTGTGGTTCAAGTGTTTAAATGCCAACCCGGAGGGAAAAAGCCTAACAGCTTGCAACACAGCAGTAATAGGTACCTGTTCGCGTGTGTCGCTGCTGGCCGCTCACTCATTCCACCGACGCCGGCCCGCGTATCGAGAACAGCACTTGAATACTATCGGCAATTGCCATCATTACGCCATGCTTCGCTCCGATTCCGTGTCAGGCAGTGCAGTCTATCTACATGTACTCTGTAGCGCACCACAAGAGGGATTTAAGTACATGAAGAATGTTTGCTGTTCACTCTGGGACATTTCTCCCTGCCACACGCCATTTCAGACGCATGTTTGGGCCTCCCTGTCCCGGCTGACCTACAACAGTGCCGCCTAGAGGTCCCAACCGAACCCCCCCATTTTAACTTTGTCACAAAATTCACGTTCTGCTGTACCTGGCTGGTCCCTCGCTTTCTTCACCGATACCCCCCCCCTGCCTCCCCTCCGTCTGTGCCACGTAGATTCAGCGAAAGGAATCCGCGTACGAAGCTGGGGCACCGAACGCGCCGGCTCCCGGCACTCGCGACCTCCCGTGGGCGGAGAAAACGGGCAACTTGTTTCAGCTCGGCGCTGTCTTGGGGTGCGCGGCAGTGCGCTACGGCTGGGATAGGGGTGCCAGGAGAGTCGAGCTCCTGGCGATTCGCGACAACGACAAGCAGCACAGCAGGTGGGACAGTGGGGCACTGCTGTAGTCGCGCTTTTGCCAAACCTGGGTTTTGGTTTGGGGCCTGGGAATGTACGCGGGATTAGCTTCTCTGCGGTGTTGACGTGGAGGTGTTTTGGCGATTTGGATCACATTCCGCGTTCGTTTGGTGTAATTTGTAAGTTGTCCGTTTCGTCTTGATGGAGTTTTAGTCTTGCGATAAAACCTCCGGAGTCGTTTGACGGATGGACGACGCTTGGCTCTCATCATCATCAGTAAATAGGTGTGAACAAACCCCGCCGAGACAACCTGCTCCCTCCGCTGTTCACCGGCCACTATTAACCGCCCCCAACCTACATCAACCCGCAACCCTCCCGACCCCCGCTGGTGGCATTGGTCCCGTCCAACAGACTGGTACGTTATTACCGGATAGCTGGCTTCAAAGCGGAGCGCAAGGTCGGGGAGGACCTCGGTAGCCTGAGAGACAGATTGACTTGGGGGGCGGAGGGCACGCTTATGGCGGCATCGGCGGATGACTTCATGAGGCGGTGGACGTCCCTCATGCAGGAGACCAATGCCAGCGACGAGGAATCGGAGGCGGCGGCGGCGGCAGCGGCAGCGGCAGAGGCGGCCGCAGTAGAGAAGCTGGAGACTTGGCCCAGCGAGTTGGGATGATACTAGTGTGAGGTTTACAAGCCGACACCAGAGACCATTTGAAAAGTCGGCGCTGACGTTGCTCATGGTTCTATTTCAGGAGAGGTTGTAGCACAACAGGAAAGTGGTTTGTGCCTTTCGAAGCAAAGAACACGTTTTGACGAAAAGCATTGATTTGGGGATGTGCTTCTTTTGGAGTTGCGGGCACTACACGTCAGATTTTGCCGTCTTTGGCTTCCGCGCAACTCCCCTGTCTCAAATGACCTTAACATTCCTTGCCCACGTGGTACCTACCCACGAGAGGGTAGGGCCCGCCCTTGTAGCCGTACTTATCGAGCCGGCAAATGTCCGGGGCAGGGAAAAGAGGGGGAACGGACCGTCCCCTTCGCTTGGTCGCACCGCAACATTAGTAGGGTTATTCCATAGAGTAGGCTCCGCAGACTGGGTTCAGCCCAGTCTTACCGCGTGCCGTGGACGCGCTCTTGTTTGACGGGCAAACAGGAGGGGAAAAAACTATAACGGTGTTGAACTCTAAATTCCCGCCACCACCCCCGCCAGAGAAACAAACGGTGGGCAGTACCGCCGCATATTAAATTTAAGAGCGGGAACCGTCAAGAAGCAACTTCTGATAGAGATCCATACAGGCTGCGTTCTCAAACGGACAAAAAATTAAAAAAAAAATCCACGTCGAGGTGGCGCAAAAATCAAGCCAAGACCGCACGCAACCGCTCGACGGCCTCTACGCACGACTCCCGGGGCGCGAACGCCGACAAACGCAGGAAACCCTCTCCTCCGGGGCCGAAGCCCGCTCCTGGGATGGTCACCACCTGTGGCGGGCAAGAAGGAGGAGGAACAGAGAGACACGGGCGAGGAGGGAAAGGGTGAGACTGACACAGATGACAAACCGAATTTCTTCTCTATCTTCAGGGGAGGTTTGTCTCGCGATACTGCGGTGACCTTGGCTGGCGCAATGAAAAGGGCGGGGGGTACAGCGAGCACGAACCGATACCCTTGGCGAGCAAAGCTTGTTGTGCTGACCTTCTCCGTCACAACGTTGAGGGGTTCAGTTTTACCCGGGGGCGGTGGGTTGTTGACATCTCTTGCGGCGACTCCACCTCCAGTCTTGCCACATATTGTCAAACCCCACAACGAGCCCTCCCTAGACATATTCTACCACCGAGTCAACCGCCACCAAGAGTTTCGAAAAACAATTCCCTCGGCGCATACATGCAACAGAGGGACGACATGGCACAGGAGCTTGGGAATGTGCATTTTCGTCTGTGTCCGAAAAGGAATCGCCCTACTTCTAGTGAGTGTGGTGGTGGCACAAGCACACTTTGCAACACTTGCACAATCGTACTCAGGCTGTCGCCGGATCCACGACTCTCGTTGTCGCTGTCAAGTCTTGCGCGCCGGACCCGACCATGAATTAGCGCGGCTCTGGACACCCTTCTTCTAACACACGCAACAAGCACTCGTACGACGCACCACAGAGAGAGTATCGTCACTCAGCAAAAAGAGACATTGACATTCAAGTGTTCAGCTCTTAACCATTTTCGTATGCCATACGTCTTGACCAACCAAACATCTGGCCCTGTCCCGTTGACGTCACCGGCTGCAGATAAAAACGAATGGTACTCGGATCAAGAAGAACCGCGCCACGCTACCGCTAGTCACTCAGCGAAAAGAGATTTCGACATTCGAATGTTCAGCTCTTAACCATTTTCGTATGCCATCCTCGTGACTCTCCATTTCTCAACCCAACACACGTCTAACCCTGTCCTATTGACACCACCAGCTGCAGAAAAAAACGAATGGTACTCGGTTCATGAAGCACCGCGCCACCCTACTGCTAAGAGGTACTGTAGTCACTCAGCGAAAAGAGATATCGACATTGAAATGTTCAGCTCTTAACCATTTTCGTATGCCATCCTCGTGACTCTCCATTTCTCAACCCAACACACGTCTAACCCTGTCCTATTGACACCACCAGCTGCAGAAAAAAACGAATGGTACTCGGTTCATGGAGCATTGTGCCAACCTACTGCTAAGAGGTACGGTAGTCACTCAGCGAAAAGAGATATCGACATTGAAATGTTCAGCTCTTAACCATTTTCGTATGCCATCCTCGTGACTATTCCATTGCCGTTTGCATGGCCTCCAGACAACCTCTCCCCAGCCCCAGTAACCAAGTATATCTACAGCAGGTGGCTACCGAGACCCCATACTACAGGTAGTCACTCAGCGAAAAGAGATACCGACATTCGAACGCTCATCTCTTAACCATTTTCGTATGCCATCCTAAGTGCGACCATGGGTTGGAGCAAACGGCACGAGTGCTGTGAACGCTGATGTGAAGCGAAGACAAAAAAAAAAAAAAAAACGTCGTTACTCTATTTCGGAACCCACCACACACCTGACCCTGTCCTATTAATATCACCACCTCAGATACAGATCAATAGTATTCGGACCATGACGCACCCCGCCACTTTACTTCCAAGAGGTAGGTACCAGTCACGGCGAAGTGAGATGCCGACATTGAAATGTTCTGCTCTTAACCATTTTCGTATGTCAAATCCTCGTGACTCTTGTGTTAGACGCGAAACTATGCTGCCCCTACTGTCGGCAAAGCGCTACGAGCAGGAACTGCACCAACGTGCGGCACAAGGACAGACGAGTTTGGGGACCCCAGTGCCCAAGTGCAACACGAGCTGTGTTGGGCGGTGAACGCGTTCCGTGAATTCTGCCGCGGGTTACGTTTTCGACACACGACTGTCTCTCTCGCTCAGAAACCCGCTCTAAGTTCTTCCTCTTCCTGACTCCACACCCAAACGAGTGTTGTGCCCTCTTTTGTTTACCTCCACTCTTTACGCCCAGACCTCACACTCTCTCAAAACCCTGGTTCAGTCGCACAGCGGTCCTTTCGCGCGGCCGAAATAACAAAAAAAGTGAAGAGCAAAAATCCTACACGCTACAGAGGTGCGGGTGAGGCACAAACAAGACGGGGGAACCTGTTGCTGTACATACCGATACACTCAACACATCGTTGATTTCACGGTTGAGCTAATAGTGTGAAAGTAGTTTCGCCGCACTTTCGACTTCGCAAACACCATCGCGTATATTCACAGGGCTGACCATCGTGTTTAATGCAAGCATCTGGTGTGGAGAGTTACGCGACATCGAGTTCATGATATTGTTCAGCGTGTTTAATGCAAGCATCTGGTGTGGAGAGTTACGTGACGGCGAGTTCATGATATTGTTCATCGTGTTTAATGCAAGCATCTGGTGTGGAGAGTTACGCGACGGCGAGTTCATGATATTGTTCAGCGTGTTTAATGCAAGCATCTGGTGTGGAGAGTTACGTGACGGCGAGTTCATGATATTGTTCATCGTGTTTAATGCAAGCATCTGGTGTGGAGAGTTACGCGACGGCGAGTTCATGATATTCTTGGGCGGGTTGGGTTGTGGGTCCTTTCACAAGACCAGAAAAACATGAAAAATACGATTTTACTCATGAAACACCCAAGAGCCTTTGCATCGGTGAATCTTGACGTACACGCCAAAAGAACAGACACCCGCCCACCCGCCCGCCTGTGGTGCTGCCTCCTGCCCAGCTAGCGTTGCATACGCACACAGCAAGCAACGCAATTCTTTGTCCCATTGTCCCATTGCCCCAGCACACAAAGACCCCCGCACCGCATCGTGCTAAACCATGCTACATAGCAGCGCTAGCAGAGTGCAAGACCAATAGCATCACGACAACAACAACAATAGTAACAACGAACGACAACAGGACCGCAAGACATACAGTACATACCTGTGCCTTCTCGAGGATCTCGCTGAACACGTCCCAGCTGGCCTTCCCTTCCAAGTCCACGTACACGTAAGGGGCGTCCTTCCCACCGTGAGACTTGAAACCGCACGACTCGATACCCTGTGACACAGAAAACAGGGTGGGAAAATGTTATCTTTTTCCGAACTTCATTGCTTTTGAACGTGTGCGGATGGTTCGGGCAACCGACCGGGGATGGATGACCTTGGCGATTGGCAGTCAAACCCGGCGACACTTTAGTAGGTTGCTGGATTAGGGAGGACCACGTGCGGCGAGGGCTGTTCCCAAGCGGTGTCTATGCGATTCGGAAACGCATGCTACCCACGCCAGCCAGCCGGCTACGAGCAACTGGAGCTTGTTTGGGTTACAGCAGCCGGCAAATAAAAAAGCTAAGGCGAAGCCGGCGCGCCCATCCTTCTTTTCTCCGCAGCCTGGTGCCCGGCGGGTAACCGGGCGATGCCGACATCTTCTGCTGCTGCCGCTCCCGATAGAGCTGTGGCTTGTTCTCCGTTCGATATTTATTGCCTTTGCTTAAACGTCTGACTTATATATACTCCGAGTTACTATTTCGGGTTTTGTATTGTCCAGGAAAACTTGGTTTCGCAGAAAAAGAGCTTGGCGGTCGAGATTTGTGTAAAGCTTTGCAGAAAAAAACGCTTGCTCTTAAACGCTAACATATCGAATCACAACGGGTTGTTAATAACACCATAAAAAACAGTTCACGCATGTTTAGTGGATGTCGAGGATGAGCAAAGCTGGCGTCTAAGCATATGCCGCGACAGCCTTGGGAGTGCATAGCCGTGCTGTGGAAGTGTGACGCTTAGAGAGTCGCCTTGGCCACTTCCAGCTTCAAAGCGTTGCGGTATCAAGACACCGCCCTTCCCCCCGGGATCCCCCCACCCTCCCCCTTGCGATAAGTCCCGCGGTCCACACGCTAGGTCCTCGTTAAATTCGCGCGTCAAGGCTTCCCATAGGAACCTTACACCGTATGCCTATGCCGTACGACCGCTGATGTCAACCCGTTCCAAACGTTTCGCAGGAGGAACACGTGCACTCGTGATCGTCCACCCTCGACCAAGGCAAAGGCACCAAGAATCAGCAGCGCCATCCGTATTGGGTCAACACCGATGGCGGTGCTGAATTCTTCGTGCCTTTCTTTTGGATGAGGGTGGGCGACCGCAAGTGTCTGTGTCACAGGTCGACACCAGCGGTGATACAGTATACGCATACGATGCAAGATACTTTATGCCAAGCCTTAACGTGCGAATTCAACAAAGACCTAGCGTGTGGACCACGGGACTTATCGCAAGGGGGAGGGTGGGGGGATCCCGGGGGGAAGGGCCATGTCTTTATAAGGCGGCGTTTTGAAGCTGGAGGTGGCGAAGGTGATCTTCCAAGCGTCACACGTCTACAGCACGGCTTTGCACTCCCAAGGCGGTCGCGGCCCGCGCCAACATCGCTTACCGCTAATACCCTACCTGTACAAGCGGCGTGCTCGAAATCGATGCGCACGCCAACGAAAACAACAAAGTATCTCCACGAAAAAAGGTATGTACAGCGTGAAGAAACGAATCACCTCCTTGAGGATCTTGGCGTTCTCGAGGTAGTAGTCCATCAGCGTATCGATCTCCGCCATACCCTCGTCGTCAAGGCAAGTCATGCCCCCTGACTGCATACGCCAGAGCATCGGCCGATTCAGAGTACATGACGGGACCCCCCCCCCCCCGGCGGACCACAGGTCCCGTTGCACAGCAGGGTACCGTTGCGAGAAAGAGAGCAACACAGAAAGGGTTAATACGGAAAGCACAAGCAAACACCGAGGTCGTCAAGTTCACGAATGACATGACATGATCGGGTATCTAATATAGTAGTGGTGAAGATATGCGTTTACACAGCATGTTTCAAGGGAATGCCGCAGCCGGTGCGCTCCCCAGCCACGAGCACGAGACGAAAACAACAGCAACTGCCCAAGACCATCACGCACGCGAGCAGCAAGCACCTCACAGCACTGTCGGCCGTTCTCTCAGCACCAACATGTAGCAGCAGCAACAGCACACTTCTTGGAACAGCCAACGTCGCACTTTCCACGTCGGAGTGCAAGCAGGTGGGTATGTCTTGCACCGGAAACGATAGAAAGCACCAATACATAGAGCAAAATCAAAACTGCAAGTAATTCCGGAGAACGGCACCACATTTCTGGGAAGGTCTTGCGGACCTGACGAACGAACTCAAGATCGAGCCTAAATAACAGCACGTTGTGTGAGGTCGGTAGGTATCCTGTTGCTTCTCTGGCTCGTGCTCTCCTATCCAACCAACCCCCTACAGCACCATTCAAGCAAGGTGTCTGCACAAGGCGGACGGGGCTTGTACGTCTACTATACACGGCAGCAGTCAGAGTCAGCGTTGTGCACGAGAACCGCCGCGGCCAGTCGCACGAGGAAGGCAACCTGTCGCTAATTGCCCCGCGTAAGACTCCACCACATGGAGAGCTATCATAACAACGACAGACAAAACCTCGCGCAACACATCAGACGTGGCGGCCACCGAGGATAAACAACAACAGTAGCAAGCGCCTCTGCGCATACGTATACATACCGGTAGGTTTACAACCTGCGCATACATGCAGCACTTGCCTGTACGCACGATTACAACCTATCTAGGCATCCTACGCATACATGCAGTACTTGCCTGTACGATGTTGGAAGCGCCGTTGAAAGCGGTGGTCATGACGCGGTTGAAGTCATTTCTCACGGGGGTCCCGTCGGAGAACTTGACCTCGTTAGGGATAACCGTCCACCCCAGCCGAGCGCCGGTGAAGCCTGCGTACTTGGAGAAAGAGTTCACCTGATTTGTGCGTTCGATGCGAGAGGAGCAGCAACCAATCATCGCCAGGGTGGTTACAGCAGGTATTGTGCTTGTTTGGGGTCGTGTTCATATAATTCGGTCACTTAGTACGCTATGGCGGGGTATGAAAAGCCAACGTCGAAAAGGTGGGAGCCACTCAGCGGTGATGCTCGAAATTTCAAAGCGTTTTGGTCCGCGCTCTGATCGGTTGATCGGTTGAACAAAAGCCACAGCGCTGAGAATGAGGGTCCTCACTCTTCCGTTGTACTCACGGGTGACGTAGCCAACCTGTGCACCCACCTGAAGCGGCAAAGAACAACTTCCAACTATGGCGCACAATCTTCAAAACAACACCCATTCCAGCCTCTCTCTCAATCTTCACCCTTGAGGGACACCGTGAAGCAGACAGCGCAAGAACTACATGGGACACACCCTTGTGATGCTCATGCCGCCGCCATGACCCGGGGGCCTCGGCGGTGGGGGGTTCCTACACACATAGGTACCTCGATGCAGCAAGTTCTCGATCCCTCGATCTCGAAGATGGACTTGGGCACTCCAGGAGTGCGGATGAAGGGCGCGTACGCCGCGTCGAAGACGACGATGGAACCCTGGCAAGACGCAATGGAAAGGACAGCAGTAGGCAGAGATGGTACTGCAACAACAAAAAATACTATAATACCATCGAATTTTCTAAATATCAACCCACGGATTGGCGGGACGAACTACCACACGAGAGGAACAAAACAGATTTCTTGTCTGGGGAAAAAAAATGTTGTGTTACAAGTAAATAATAAGACAAAGGACCCTCCCACGCGAGTAACAAGGCAGTGGACGCGGGCATCTGGTTGGAAACAACGAGCAGCATGCCGGTAGCTACACCGTTCGCGTGGCGGAGGATTGTTGTTAAACATGCCGGGAGTAATTCTCGTACATCCCCGAAGTCGCAAGGCCAGCGATCAGGTATCGTAACAGTATTGCATTCGCCGTGGCCCCTGTGTGCCCCTAACCTTGACCGACTCCATGTATACCACCACACTATAAAAAAACTTTAAGTCGGAAGTAACCCGGGAAGAGCACGATGCGCAGCCGCAGCTAGGGAAACGGGGGGTTGGATGTTGCCCGCAGGTCAGCAAAAACGGCGAGACCGAGTGCTACTGCTAGTGTACTGCTGTATCTTCGCAAAGAAAGGAGAGGATTTCTTGCTAAGTTTGCCGTACCTTCGCGTTAGCGTGTGCTACGAGTGCCTCCAGCTGCTCGCGAGTAGCCACGGCGCCCGTGGGGTTGTTGGGGGAGCAGAAGTAGATCACGTCCGCATGCGGCAGCGCCTGTTGTTTTTCGGGAAAGAGGGGAGGAGGGTGGGGAGGGGGCGGGGGTCTGTCCCGTCAGCGAGATCAAAGCGAGCAATCAAATGGTTTTCAAATACATACGGGAATGGAATTAAAATGTGACGAGAATGAGCGGGGGAGAACGAGGACCAGAGAAAAGGCGGGGAGGGGGTCGCGATAAGGACTCGAGATAGAGGAAAGGTTGACAAAACCACCCCAATTTTATGCGCGCCTTGGTATTGATCCATGGTTCAATGGGGGGTGTAGTCAAGGTTTATGCTATACGTTGCATTTCTACGTGTCTGCATAGTAGTTGGCTATTTCACGTCCACTGACCTTGAGGTCAGGGAAGAAGTCGTTGCTCGGCTTGCAAGGCATGTAGACGATGTTGTCGTACTGCATGGTCTCCTCGTTAACCTCGCCGGTCTGGCCCACCATCACCGAGGTGTCCACATACACCGGGTAGGAAGGGTCCTGCAAGATACAAAACAGAACGTACGGGCACGATAGCACGTTGTCACTCAGAGACAGAACAATTGTGTTGCGGAAACAAAACAAGACGACGTTCACGACAAAAGTTAACCCCGTCGCCAAACACGACCATCTCCAAGAGCAACAAGACCATCTCAGCAGCGGCGGGCCGTGAGAGGGAGCGCAAACAGCAGTTACACACCCACACAACACATTTCCTGTTGAATCAGCAAGCGTATCATACGCAAACATAAATGTATCACAGCCTCCTTCCGACACTGATTGAGAAGGCTCCAACAACAACAGCAGTAGCAGCAGCAGCAACAACAACAACAACAACAACAACAACAACAACAACAACAGCAGCACGCACCACCACCACCACCACCAACAACACAAACCATCATAATTCGTACTTGCCTGTACGGCCGACACAACCCCCGAGCCAAACATCATCTGCAGGCGGCCGATGTCGCACTTAGCGCCGTCGCTGACGAACACCTCGTCGGGCTTGATGAGGCCGTTGTACAGCTTCTCCGATATCTTCTCGCGGATGTCCGCCTGCGCCGTTTTTTTCGGTTGTGCCGTTTCGGGAAAAAAACGGTTACGGTTGGGTTCCTCGTGGAGAGTTGATCTTGGCCTTGCTGATTGGGCTATTGGGTTTTGCGTTTGCTGTTGAGGTTTCTATTCTCTTCTGGCGGTATACTATCAACTCCGGTGGGACTTGACCCCTTGCCCTCTTTGTGAGAAATGGTAGATGAAAGAAGCAGGACACACGCGCGATATTGACACTCAGCGGCATACCATGCTCGTGCTATGTACCATACTGTACAGTACGACTTCTTGATCCGTTCATGGAACACACGACCCAGCACGTTTCGCGCACGGTCACGTCGGATAAAAAAACCGCTTGATTACAGGCATCGTTTACCGAATTGAACATCTTTCTCGATAGGTGGCAGCACTGTCTGCTGTCCAGGTAGGAAGGTTTCTACTCAGTCTGCTTGTTCTCTCACGCGAGCAAAATACGTCGAAACTACAGAACAACACTGCTGCTATGGTAGTGGTTTCTCCAAGGATGTATTCGCCCTGATTAAACCCAAGCGCCGTTGCGTGTTTGCTGGCTTTATCCTTGCCCGCAACGACGTTCGGAGCACAACAGCAAAATTAATGGGAGCCCCTCAAGTTACTTCAAATCTGCGCACTTGTCTTCTTGAAGAAGAGTTGTTTGCGTACAACGCAAGTTTGGGAACTGTTAGGCCCGCCAGCCTCGGGGGAAGCCACATCCAACACAATACTTCATATGTATGTATCTCAAGCGATCCATTGCGGTGTCAACAATACAACAGCAGTAGCAGCCTCTCACCACTACAAATACTCTTGCAAGGATGACGCAGCTGGCACACTTCCACCATACCCTGCTCACAGGTCTCACATACAAGGACGAAAGCTATCCATCTACACAGTCTTGAACTCTCACTCTCGGACAACAAGATCCGGATCCAGCACGTCCGTGCTTTCTCTCCAAAGCGCTGGGGGCGTCGTACATACATGCCTATCTCACCTTTCCCTGTTCCGCGCCGTAGCCGGTGTAGCCTTCCTTAGTGCCGAGGGTCTTGGCCCCCCCGACGAGGCCGCTCAAGATGTGCGGCGGAATTGGCTGTATCGGCAGAGCGCCAAACACGAACCAGTGAGACAGAAGCAGGAAGAGGAAGAGAGGGTTACATACCCAACAACGGGACCCGTAGGCCCCAGGCAGCCCGTGAAGAGAGAGAGATTAGTGAAGGTGTTCGTTGTGCCAAGGTCACACCACACCCAATCAACGACCACCGACACGCTCTTGGCTACAACGGCTGTCTGCACACCGTGCCCCCTCCCCTGTCCCGGAGTCGGTTGGCGACGACGGCGCGAAACACGTTCACCGCGTGGGCTAGACCGACCGTGATGTTACAATTGCCGCTTCTTCTTGTTGCTCAGCGGTTCTTGGCGCACAACCATGCATGATGGCCGGATCAGATCGTTTTGCGCGGGGTTATCGTGCCACGTACGTATGGTACGTACAGTAGTGTGCAAAGAGGGCAGGCACTCCCGAGGCTGTTGCAACACATGCTCTTTTGAAGTGGAGGCACCCATGAGTAGTGAGTGCATCTCCCGTGGCCCCCCTCCTTACCCTAGCCATTGACTCCTCCGCCGCCACTATACGCGAAGGCCTGAGTTTTTCTTACCTAGAAAAACAGACAGCTGTTGCAGCAGTGTCCTAGCGGCGGCTAGGGCTCAAAGAAGGACTTTTATTCTTTCGAATTGTCTTGATTAATACCGTATATGACACAAGATAACACACCCCCTGGACCGATTTTCAAAGCTCGATTACTCCACGACGAAGAGGATGCATAAACGAAACAATACATTTTCGAAAACCTCTCGACGAGACGGTTCCAACGCCGCCGTTTTCGGCGCTGTGACTCTTCCTGCTGTTGAGAAATCGAGCTTTGAAAATCGGCCCAGGGGGTGTGTTATCTTGTGTCATATACGGTATTTCTGTGGCCTACGGAGGGAGACATCCCCCGTACCACACGTTCCGCACGGCACAAAGCCTCTGCGGTATCCTAACGTGTCTCTGCTTCTAAAACACAAAATCTCTCTCCGAATACCACCAGACGGGACGAAACTGTTGCACAGTAGCAGTCTCGGACGATTGAGCCTCCCAATGGTACGCACTACCATTCAGAAAACACCCCAATGCTACGCCATACTTCTAAGTGGCAAACGGTTGCACCAATTCCGAGTCACAGAAATATTAAGATGCCTCTCCTATTATAGGTGAGTCCTCACTCGTAACATCTCCTATCCCCCACCTTCGAAAGAAAAGGGGTGGGTGGGCGGGAGAAAAGCTACGAAATTCTGCTAGCTACGGGTCCAAACTTCGATGTAGCTAGCTGCTGCCCTCCTTCCCGCGTGACCCTCCGATGCGGGCTGCGTGTTACACACTCTGTGCATTCCTCAACACGTGGCCCTTGGTCCAGTAGACACGCGTCTATCAAACTCTTGATGCCGGAGCAGCGAGGCAGCAGAATGAGAACTCCGTGAGACCTTTCTTTTTGTAAGACCCCAGAAAACCAAACCAAGACAACCCAACCAACACGCCTCCGGGGCGGCAAAACAAAAACCCAAATACAACCGTAGATCTGGGACATGTTCCGAATTCTTCCTTGCACAATAAACTACAGCAGTTTTTCGGTCTTCGACAGCAAACTTTAATTTTTATTCAAACGAAAGTGCGGATGTAAGAGAGTAAACGTGGCTTATCATACCGCGGCCATCAGAGAGGTTGATATACTATGTACATGGCACGGTTGAGGAGAAGGCCAGTCTCGGGAGAGTTTTCCCTGGCACTTGGCTCGCCCCAATCATAATCTGCGACCGTACGTAGCCGCTTCACCTACAGGTACAGCCTACATTGTAGTACCTGGGTCGTGTCTCCGATGCCGAGCGAGATGATGGGTCGGCAGTCGGGGTTTGCCTCGAGGTAGGCGTTACGGCGCTTGGCGATGCCAGGGAACAGGTAGCCTGCCTGTTGGTGTGTAAAGTCCGCGGCGGCAAGAACATCAGCAGTCAGCAACAACAACGCGCCAGCGGTATGTTCGACCGCATTCCGTCAGCGCAGGTTTAGACTACAGCAGTCGTATGCATGTGTTGTACACAGGCGCACAGAAAGCGCACGGATGCGTGCAGCTAGTTTTTTTGGTTTTCGTGGTCCTATTTATCAACCGCCGTTCAGCAGCGTTGACTACCGTACCTTGTTCTTTGTGGGATACACTCTAGACTCGCTGGCTGTCGAAAATTCGTACATGACCGCTGTGCTTTTCCGGCAAACCTGGTGCGCCCCCTCCGACCCTTGGGGACAAACAAGCTGGATATACTACCGAGTAGCTGCTGTACAAGCGACAACCATCCATCTGTTTCAAACGATGCTGCCATCTCTGCAAGGCAGCCAAGCTGTCACGCAACACCGACAACAGCGGTAACAACGACGACCGAGCCTCCCCTGCCGTCCCAGCCAGCACCGCGGCGAAACATGCACACGCCTGACTAAACCTCAACCATGCAACCACCAGAGGATGATACACACAAGCCTGTATTCCTGCACAGCCAATCATCACCACCCGCAGACTCCGCCACCACCACAAACGGGAGAAACCAGCGCAGAGTGCAGTACCCCACCTTGAGCTTCGCGAAGTTCTCGTTGCGCTTGACTCCCGTGCCGACCTTGTCAGGCGTCGCGACCATGCGAGTCGAAGCGCGTGGCCTGCTGCTGCCGGTCACCGAGCGTGAGGTCGGCGCGGGTGCATGGCGCACTTGCTGGGCGATGAACGGCGTCCCCACGAACGCCAGGCCGGGGGCCGCCAGCAACGAGAGACATACACCAGACAACATAGGCGACATCATCGTTTCCTGGCAAGTCGACAGCGCAGAGACTCCCGATCTATCTGTGTGTGCGGCGCGCGCGTCATGCACTGAGTTGGGGGGCTCCGCGAAATCAGTAGCGATGCGCCGCGCGCGGCCGGCGGAACCACTGAAGACCGAGAGAGGCGTTTTCTTTGTTGTGGTTGAACGCACTTACTTTCACTCGACATTTCCGGTTCGACAAACACAACAGCAGGGCCGTAGGTATCCGCATGTACAGCGAGGCAGTACCATGAGTTCCTGATCTCACACGTATAGGTCTCCCACCAATCGCCATGCCGCCTCGCGTGCACCAGCGTACGTGCGAAAGATTTGACATGTACTGTGCCTATCCGGCCGTCGTACACACTCCCGACTCCCAAAAACACGACAACAAAATATCAATTAAATATCAATAGGTGACCAGGTGTCTAAGTTTCTATTAGCGTATGAAAAAAATGGTTACAAGCGATGATGATCGAAGGGTGGACTGCGAAACGGGAGCACTGCATCGGGCAACAAGTAACATCATCAGCAGGGTCCAACATTTCATAGACCATGCATCATTAAATCGCCTCCGTTACGCTCCTTGGTGTTGTTGACACCGAAGCTCTCCCGACGATTCATTTTCACATGATTACAAGCAGTTAATCCTGGCCGAAGGACGAACAACTCAAGAATTTGAAACTCTCCACAAAACACACGGCAAAATAACAATGAGAAAAAAAGAAAAACCTAAAGCCGTTGAGCTCGACGATGTATTGCTGCAGTAAGTAGTAGATGCTCCGTCCCCGGCGTCAAGAACAAACCATCCGTTGAAAATGAAACGACTTCATACGAGATACCCAAACTACTACTTACATCGCGCCCAATAGACGCACCGTACACATGCCGGTGCCGATGTGGCGAAACGAAAAGCAGGCACGCTTTAACCTCAACGAAATCACAATCGACAAAGCTCGAACCACACAGAGTAGAGAACATCCTGCAAGGACAACAAGGACGCACACCTTCGGAGTGAGACAAGACTCGGACAGACTTAACAGACGAACTCCAATTAAACTACACATTTCACGTGGGGGCTCCCCGCACTCATGAACGAGAAAAACCAACGTCGAAGAAACAGACGGAATGGAAGAAGCGAAGATAACAGGGCACAAACACCACGGGGCTCAAAAATCGTACCACTACGGTCAATAAACAGCAGGTTCAAGTGTACTGCCCCCGCCCCCTCTGATTCCGCAGCTCCAAGCGCGAAAAAGAACGTACTTATCTAGTGTCACGCGGCATTTATACTTCTCTTTAGTTTCGGTCTTTGCGCCCCCCGCCCCCCCCCCCCCCCCGGCCCCCCCCATGTCTCCCTTCCGAACACCCCCCACCCCCCCCCACCCGGAAGAAAAAACCCCATTTCCCTCCCCCCCCCCAAGGCCCCCCCCCTCCCCTCCAAACTAGGGGGGCCCTGTCTTGGCCCCACCATCTACCCCAACCTGGAGGCCGGCGAAAATTTTTGCCCGGTCCCCGACCAACCCAAATGATTCCCCCCCCCAGCCGTGTGCCCCCCCCGCCCCCACAGCCCTCAAAATTTCCAAAAATGCCGGAGCCCCCCCGGCCCTGTTGAAACCGGGGGGGAAAGCCGATAAGCCCGAAAAAGGCCCCCAAATTTTACACCCACAAAAAAAACTGGTGTGTGAAACCCCCGCCAAAAAAAAAGGAACGGCTGGGGGGACCAAAAACGGGGGGGGAGGGGGGGGACTCCCCGTTGG